ACCTGATCCCCGTGGAGTACCGTCGGGCATGCCCGACGAGTGAATAGGGTGCTCACGGGGACCGGCCTGACCGAAAGCCCGATTAAGGTGGGGGGACTGATGAAAGACAACACTCGAGACGGACAGAAGACCCTACACCGACGAAGAATGCGTGTGCGATAAAAGTGCAGTGCGTGTGCAAGTGTGCGTGTGAACAAAACAAAAGTTAGGCTATCGCATCGCAACAAGGACGCGACAGGACGCATGCGATTTAGGTTAGTTTCATTGTTTCTAGGTTAGATAGTTATAATTAGGATAGATAAAAGTAATAAATTAGTTTAAAAGTAAGTACCAAAAAGTGACAAGAGAGGCAACGCCTCGAACAATTGTAGAAGAGGTGAAGCAAATAAGTGCCACCGAACTCTAGCTAATAAGACACATATTAATGTGAAATATATCACCATAAAATGTACCAAAAAATATTGACAAAATACATGTATTATATGGGTAGAAAACCTCATCCAAGGCATTTGCCACGGGCTGAGGTCATTTACCCCGGCGAGCGACGGGTTGCGTCCGGCGTTTGCCGCCAACTCCCGTCAACATGTGTTTTTCGTGAGTGCTCTATAATAAAACTAACATTTTGTCAAAGTTGTTGAAATATTTCAAAGTCCCGCGACTCGGAAATTTTTCCAAGTCCGGCTCCGCGGGAGCCGTTTTCAACTCTTTCTCCCGGGGCCTCCCGACCTCCCAGTCGCCTCGGCCCGCCTTCTAGGCCGAGACAAGTTTCCGTACTGACGATCCAATGCATCGGAAACACTTTGCAACTTTTCGCCCGGCCGCCAGCTCGGCCTCTAAGGGGCAACTTTTTCGGCCGACTTCCGGAAATTTTTACGAAGTCCCGCGACTCGGAAATTTTTTCCAAGTCCGCACGGCGGGAGCCGTTTTCAACTCGTCTCCCGGGGCCTCCCGGCCTCCAGTAGCCTCGCCGCTTCTAGGCCGAGACAAGTTTCCGTATCTGACGATCTAATGCATCGGAAACACTTTGTACTTTTCGCCCGGCCGCCAGCTCGGCCTCAAGGGGCAACTTTTCGGCCGGACTCCGAAATTTTTACAAGTCCACGCGCCGAAGCGCTCTGCGAAATTGTTCTCGCCATCTTTTAATAGTTGTTCTGACGGTCGAGATAGACGTTTTAAACATATATTGTTTTGGACACTTTTTTTGGCGTGGGACTTTGAAATTTTTCAAAGTCCAACACTCACTTTCCGGGGCGCCTTACGGAGCCCGGCGAGCGAGCCGCCGGCCGCCGGGCTCTCCGAAGAGCTCCGGCGGCCACCAAGTTTCGCCGTTGTCATTGCGGGGCCGCGCCGACGTTGGTCTCCGGCAGGGGCACGCGCGCGCTATACCCTGCCCCCTATTAATGGGAGAAAACTCTGTCTCAAGGTGGTTCGCTACAGGGAAGCGTTCGTTTTCCGCGGTGATCTGCGGGTTGCGTCGTCGGCATTGGGCGCTTCGGCCCGCGGTCTGACGTTTCGACGCGATTTCCAAGTCGTTCGCGTGTGCTCTTTTTTCGGACTTTGAAATTTTTTCGCCTCTCGGACGAAAAAATTTCAAAGTCCCACGCGGGTGCGAAACGTGTTCTCGCCTCTTTTTAATATGTTGTTCCGGACGTCGAGATAGACGTTTTAAACATATATATTTTTGTTAATTTTTTTTCGTCGGGACTTTGAAATTTTTCAAAGTCCGCCTCCGCGGGAGCCGTTTTCCAACTCCGTCTCCGGAGCCTCCCGGCCTCCCAGTCGCCCTCGGCCCGCCTTCTAGGCCGAGACAAGTTTCCGTATTGACGATCTATCAGCATCGGAACACTTTCGAACTTTTCGCCGGCCGCCAGCTCGGCCTCTAAGGGGCAACTTTCGCGGCGTGACTCCGAAATTTTTCAGAGTCCGCGCGGAAGCGCTCTGCCAAAAGTTGTGCTCGCCAGATTTTAATAGTTGTTCAGGTACGTCCGGGGGGGCGGGAGGTGGGGGGGGCGCACAATTTTTAGGGGGGGCCCCCCGGGTCCCGGCAACCCGCCCTTCGACAAGACCAACACCAAGGGCGTGTGGGGTTACGGGGGGGTTTGATGCGCTGAAAACGAGACTCTTGTGACGGTCCTGAGAAATCGGCCGACGTTCCCGCATTATTTTAGTGTTTGTGTGCATGTTAAAGTTTGCCGGGAAAACTAATTCAGAGCTGTGATGGTGCCGAGACAGTCGGCGAAGGCCCCGATCACATTATTTCTGGCATCTCGGGCGTTTAGCGAAGACTGTGACGGTTCGGCTTTGATGAAACTAAGCGAGTTCACCGAGCAAAGAGCAAGTCTACAAAGAAGCCGGACACCTATTTCAGGAGCATTGTGGCGGTGAGCGAGAGAAATCGGAGTAGGCCCCGGAATACTATTTCTCTCACTCCGGGGCCTTGAAGCGACACTGTGAGGTCAGCTGAGAAATATAGCGGGTTCCGGGTTCCCGTAGTAGAATCTTTCACACAGTACAGCAGACCCGTGCACGGGAAGCTCTAGAAAAATGTCGAAAAGACGACGGCTGTTTCGCGGGAGCGGAAACGCCTCCCCGAGAGGAGAGGGTTTTAAGAGATTGTTGACGGACTTGACGGCGAATGGAACGAAAGCGTCATGCCCGCCAGTAAAATCGACGCGAAGAGAAACTGAACGGAACTAACTTCGAAAAGTACAAAAAAGAGAATAAAAATAGAATTTAGAAGAAAGCCCCGAAAAAAATTATAAAAGAAGGAAAAGGCTCGGAGTTTTAAGAAAAAGAGCTATTACAGGAGGTTGAAGCCCCGCCCCCAGACCTAGTGTAACGTCGCCGACGGCAGACAATCGCTCCGAGTTTCCCCGGCAAAAAAAAGAAGACATGGTTAAAAAAATTGCCGATGGAAACGTATTCAGAGCTGTGATGGGTGGCCGATGGAAAAGCGGCCGAGGCCCCGGAATATTCTTCTGCCACTCCCGGAGGCCTTGAAGCGAGACCTGATTGTTATTATTTTTTTGTTTTTTCTCGCTCAGTGAGGAAAAATCTGGCGAGGTGTGCCCGGCCAAAGTGCAAGTTAAAAAAGGAAGCCCGGAAACGTTATTTTCAGAGCTCGCATGTTTGTTGATGGTGGCCCGAGAAAATCGGCCCGAAAGCCCCGGAATATTCTTTGTCTGCAGCTCCGGGCTTTTTGGAAACGAGATGCTCTTCTTTTTTTGGATTTTCGGTAAATCCGCTGAGAAAAAACATTGGCGGGCCCGAAAAACTTATGTTACGGGCTATTCGAAGCAATGCCCGGAACCGAGAAAATGACGTCTCTAGTCTCTTCTCGAAGAGAACAAAAGTAACAATTATCCTCTCTTCGTATATTTTATTTGAGCCGGTTCTCTTGTTTTTTGTGTCAGGAGTTTCGGTTTCTCCCAATCTTATATAGGGGCACGGGTGTTTATTTTTTCTGTCGGCGCGCGGGGTTATAGACCGGCGCCCCCCCCCGACACGCCAATATTTATTCCGGCTAAGTATCACTAACTCGGGCAAAGGTGAGAATAGGCAGGCCCCCCCCTCCCCGCCCAACCTGCTTGATTTGTGACCTCTTTATTCTGTGATTCGCGGGGAACCCGGGTTCCTTTTTTTATGGCCCCCGAACGGCCGCTCTAGCGCGTTGAAGCCGAACCTTGTTTTCACCGGTCCGCGTTTTTTAGTGTTTGTGAACCAAGTTGGCCTTTTTTTTTTCCCGCCCCCCCTCCCCCCCCCCCCCCGCGCCCGGTGCCGGGGGGGGCGGGGCCCCCCCCCACACACCCGCTCCGCCCCGGAGTGTTAAGAAGGCTGTGCGCCGGGGCCGCCGGGGGGGAAGGGGGGCGGGTGGAGATGGTGGGCAGGAGGGGCGGGCGGGTGGGGGGAAAAAGAAAAGGGTTAGGACAGAGTAAGGCCGTAAGAGAAAGCGGCGGAAAGGCCCCCGCCTCCCGCACACCCCATCACTTTTATATCTCTTGCCTTTACTCTTCCTGTTTTTTGTTGGGCGGTTGAAGCGAGACTTGGGACTGGGTGGGGCGCGCTGGGGAGGAGGAAAAGAGAGAGGAGGGAGAAGAAGAACTAAGGCGAGTGGCTCCGGCGAGAAGAGCAAAAGAGTCGTAGAAGAGGAGAGAGAGAGAGCGGTGGGAAACGAAGAAAAAACCGTAAAATTTGGAGAGCTGTGGCGAAGTCGGGACCGAAGAAATCCGGCGAAAGCCCCGGAATATTCTTTCTATGCCACTCCGGGGCTGTGTATTTGGGTATGATTCTTGAAACGGGACCATGTGCGGTCGCTGAGAAAACATTGGCGAGGCCCGAAGAAACTCTTGATTTACGGCCTTATTCGAACCCGGCAATGGCCGGAAACCGAGGCGTCTCTAGCCTCGGAAAAAAAGTATGACATAATATCTCCGCTAGATATTGAGCGGGACAGGTTTCTCCATTATAGGGGACGGAGATGGCGTCCCGAGAGGCCCCGAAGCATTTTTTCCCGGCCCCGTTTCCTGGCTTCCGGTTTTGGCACGGTTGGCCGGTCCGATATGTGCTTTTTTTTTTTTTTTTCAGGTCCCTGCTGGGAGGCGGTCGCAGGAGGAACCCGGGGATAGCCCCCGAAATGAAAAAGTTCGGCAACTAGGGGCGGCTGAGCGAGAACTGTGCGCTTTCGGTGAGAAAATAAGAGGAGTCCCGGCAAAGCGCTTCCGTTTTCAAGTTTGCGGAAAGAAAAGCGAGCCTGTTGGACCCGTTGTGCCGAGCTTTCAAAAAATCCACAAGGCGACTCCCGCAATTTTTCCGGAAGAAATTCATTCTTTAGCTGGCTGCCGGTGGGAGCCGGTTATGCATGATACTCTGAAGCTTGACACTCTGCTCGGACGCTCGGTGAGGAAAAGTTGGGGACACGTACCCGGCGCCGAGAACCATTGTGCGCTCCTCGTTTTTAAAGGTTGCGGAGTTTAGCGAGACACATAGCCAGCGAGCGTGCTTGCGTCGGAGGACCTCGCAGCAAGCTTTCCGTATAATCTGCGCAGGAAGCGGCAGGCAGAGAGTCTCCCCTCGAGTAATGCGTGTAAAACTCTCTAGCGTTGTTTCGCAACTCCGTCGCTTGCTGCTGCCGCAAGCTTACGAGACTCGTTTAAACAGGG